CGCGAGCATTTCCTGTGTAAACCCAAAGTTCCCCCCGCAGCGGACCTTTACTCTCTCCACCTTCTCCCGTATGGCCAGCGGCGTTCCGTCCACTAAGCGTGCATCTATTTCCGGTAAGCACCGACTAAGTGTCAGTTGCAGCTTCCGTGCGGTTGCGGTATTAACTAAGCTGTGGCTTGCTCCTCCGTCTATAAAGATCTTCACTGCTGCTCCCTGTATTTTCCCGTGAATCAGTACTGGGCAATCCGTCGTTGTACCCTCCTTATTCATCCGAGCCCGATCGATAGCGTGAATCGGTACTGTGACTCGGTGAGGGTCGGTGAGGTTGGGCGAGCAGGCAGTCTCGTCAGTAGTTGGCCCGATTCCTACTGACTGCTGGCGTTTCCCTGCCTTGGAGACTCCCTCCCCTGCTCTGCTCCGCGGCGCCTCAGCTCCTCCGGGCACTCACTCTTGCGATGGCCCGGCCTATTGCAAGCAAAGCAGCGCCCCTTAAATGGCGCGGCAGCTGCATTTTTCGCAACGGCATGTACAGTGGCGTGCTCGATCGGTCCCCGAGGGCGATGTCCGTAATAGGACCCCGGTCTCGGACGGCGTAAGATATCGATCTTCTCGGCGAGCGCGAGAATCTCGTTGAAATTCGAGAGTCCGCGTAGCATGATTTCGTGCGAGATGTCCGGCTTCAGCCCTCCAACGTAACGGTCCACCCGCTCCGCTTCGTGCATGTAGCCGACTTGCTCGCATAGTGCGAGAAAACCACTCGTGTAGTCTTGAACCGACCCGAGCTGCCGCCAAGTACGCAGTTTCTGACGCGCCGAAATAGAAGCCGCGATCGGCTCGAAGCGCGCCCGAAGCCCTGCGCACCACGCATCCCACGTGCTGTATTGGGCTGTTTCGCAGAATGAACTCCAGGTGACGGCTGGACCCGTGGGCCCTTCCTCTTGTGACGGTGGCTCGTAGGCGCGTGGCGACGTCACGATGACTCGCCACCAGTCCATGGCGGGGCCCCTCAGCAGCGAAACAGCGTAGCGAATCTTCGCTGCGTCCGACTCGACGTAATTCGCGTCGAAGAAAACGTTCATCGTAAAGACCCACGACTGAACCGTCGGACCTCCACGTTGGCTCGGATCGAAACAGGGCGGGCGCTGCGGCTTGAGTGGCATTGGTGCCATGTTGTCGTGGTTGCCACTTGTTGCTGCAAACTCCACGTGCCGACGAGCTTCGCGAGGCCCACGCGGGCTTGGCGCGGCCCGATTTCTCTCCATGCCAGGCATCGATTGAGCGGCGCCATCACTGGCTGCGCCTGAGCGCTGTCCCACGCTGTCGTTTTGCGTCGGTGTGCCTGATGAGATGACGATCGGTTCTTCTGATTGCGCAGGTGCATTTGCAGGTGCTTGTGATGGAGCTGGTGCATTCACCGTTGATTGCTGGCGGGCGGAGTCACGTTCCGCCGTGAGTGTCGCGATTTTGAGTGCCGAATCTTCGAGTTGACGCACGAGACGGTCGAGCTGCTCCTGCGTCAATGTCGCAAGATTAATTTCGGCCATGGCGGGGGTGTCGGGCAAACTCAGCGGGAGCCTCTGTCGTGGCCGTGCGTGCTTACGAGAGAGCACTTCGAGCGGCGGTGCTTGTTCGCTGAGAGACGTCTACCCCCCCCAAAAATTGAGATAGTGGGAAAGCGAAGGTGTGGGTGCGGTCCGAGAGGAGATCGTAGGCTCTGATAACCAAGTGTTACGAGTGCAATTGAGTGAGCGAGAGAGAATTGCACTATCGAAGCAAAAGTACAAATGAGCGAAGGCATGAGCGAAGAATATATAGCGAAACTACAGTGGTAACGGCTATGTGTGGAAAATGGGTTGCGCGACGGGCCTAGCGCCGAGGTTGGGAGATGTCGAGGCGGAGGTCCGGAGCGCGGGTTACCAACCGGACCGTGAGGTTGGGTCGCGTCGTGGACGGTGGCGGGAATGGTGTCGAAGCGAGTGTCGCGAGTGGTAATGGATTACTGGTGGGTGCTGTGGGCGTGAACAGTGGTGTACGCGCTGAGCAGGGACGCGAAGTAAGGAAAAGGAATTTTCCTTACAGTGGTCCTAAACGCAGCCACGTCCATATCATCCCCGTTAATAGCTAACCTTTCCAATTCCTTCCAACCCTGTGATTTCCGGATAACATGGCTACCGCATCTAACAGTGTCGATAACCTTTCGCAGATTCTCCCCGCAAACAGACAACCCCGTTCGGTCACGAGCATCGCAAACGCGCATAGGATCCGCGAATCATGCGCGTAGCAGCGCCTCGTGATGTGCAGCGCTTTCCACGAACGGGGAGGAGAAAGGGGCGGAGGGATCGAAAGCGGCGGTTCGAAGAAGCGGGACGGGAGGGGGAAGCTAGAGTCTGTCACTAGTACTGAAGCGGGGAAGGGAAGGGGAAGTACTACACCCTATTCTCGATAATTTCACACCCCTTAATCTCACACTCTGGGGTAAATACTCTCGTTTAAACGTTTAGGTAGGGTAGCAAGCAACGTTTGTAAATCTGTCTCTGGGAGTCTCGCAACCTACTCGCGGATGGAAGAAAGAAACAAGAGTTTAACGGCATCCCTCACCTCCAACTACTCACACGAAAAAATAAGTGCGGGAATCGATAATTACCCTCGCCAATCTCTGGGTGTCCGTCACATCAAGCCAGAAAACGTACAGGGTACCTCTGAAACAGAGGGTAGGGGGTGTGCGATTATCAAGAATAGGGTGTAGTGATACTACTGATGTCGATTGGACCATGGGCCGGAAGCTTCCACGAATGGGGTCGAACGAGCTGACCGATTCGCTTCTCCTGACCGCATGGCTGGCAACTGTAGCTCTCGCTACAGCCGACCGTCCCTCGATCTTATCCGATCCTCTCCTCCTCTCCTGCTTCGCACACTCCTGCAGCAACCTCTTTCCTCTCTCCCACTGTACCTCGTTCGCCTGCTGCTGCCTCCTCCGTCTTTCCAGCAGCACACCAATCTCTCCCTGCTGCATCTGCATCTGCATCTGCATCTGCATCTGCATCTGCAGCCCTTTTGAACGGACAGGATCAGTGCTGCAGTACCTCCCATCCAAACCTTCGTGCCCATCTGACCTGCCAGGAAAAGCACTGCTTGAGAGAAACTGTCCGCCTTGCCTCAGCTGTGCAGCTACCCGTTCGAAGACAGCCACCAATCAAACATTTCTCTGCTCCCACTGCGTGAAATGAGTCGTGTTTTTAGTCGACTCAAAAAACAACCCGTTCTAAGAGAGGCACCAACCGCCGAACATCCCTCCGCTCCGACTGCCCCTCTGCTTGTCTGCCCCTCTCCCCACCCTCACCCTCGGCCCCACCCCCACATGCTACTGCATTGCTGCACGTGCTGCTGCCCCCGCTACTTGAGCATGGAATGGCAGGCATGGTAGGGATGGTAGGGATGGCAGGGATGGCAGGAATGGCAGGCATGGCAGGGATGGGCCATCCATTCGTCACCTGTCTATTCAGCTTGCCTTGCACGTCCTGGGAGGATCTTTGCGGCGCCTTAAAAGTGGTCGTTCCATCAGCTCCGGTCCTGACTCGCTTGGCAATCCCGCTGTCTTGCACCAAACCTTGCTGAGCCATGCTTCTCAGCTTGCCTTGCACGTCCTGGGAGAATCTTTGCGGCGCACATCCCAACGTCACCCCTTTTAAAGTGGTCGTTTTCTCTGCTCCGGTCCTGACTCGCTTAACAATCCGGTCGTCACATCCCAACGTCACCACACTGTGTTCCCATACTGTGCCAGAAACATGCTGTGCCATGCCCTCTTGCACCATGCCTTGTTGTGAGCCGTGCAGGCCCATGCTTTCAGCATGTCTTGTGCCACGTCAGCAGCATGGGGTTCAGCAGTGTCAGCCTCAGGCTCAAAAGCCTCGCTATAAGCACGCTTCGTTATCCACCCATTGCAACTGTCCGATCGAACCAGCATGTCAGCCTCTTGAAGTGTTGACTGAAGAGCATTCACCCGATTAAGCCTCGTCGGAGCAACAGTGGCAGAGGCTTGTGTGTAGGAAGCATGTGTAGGGGGCTGCAGGGAAAGGGCTAGACTAAGGCCGGAAGCCTGTGCGTCGGAATCACTCTTGCTGTTGGAAGATTGAGGGGTAACTGGAAAGAGAGGAAGTTCCAATGCTCCTGCTGGTGATGCTGTTGCTGGTGCGGTGTTGGGTCGAGGCAGAGCGGTGGTGGGTGGTAACAGAGCGGTGGTGGGTGGCAGTAGAGCGGTGTGGGGTCGTTTTGAACCAGTGGCGAAATCCAGGGTGGAACCCAGCAGTCGCATCGAGACACGTGTAGAAACGGTTGAATTCGGTTGGGTGGCTTTCGGAAGGGTCCTGGAATGGCGGAAGGGTGTATTCACATGCGTGGTGGGATATGGAAGTGTTGGTGTCGAACTGGAGGGTTGATCACGGCCGTTGATTGCGGATTCAAGGGTCTGGATGAATGCAGCAACGGTTGAAGGAGTAGCAGGGGCAGGGGCAGGGGCAGCAGCAGTAGCAGCAAGAGAAGCATGTGTATGGGTGGATGGGTCTGCATGAAGTGTGGGAAGGTGACGGGTGGTACAGCTAGTGGGTGTTTGGAGAGGGCCGTTGATTGTAGATTGAAGGGCCTGGATGAACGCAGCAGTGGTTGAGGGAGTAGCAGCAGCAGTGGTTGAGGGAGTAGCAGCAGCAGCAGCAGCAGCAGCAACGGAAGAACGCGCAGGGGTGGATGGTTCAGAGTATTTGCCTGAGCCTGCGGATCGAGGGAGGCCGTTGATTGCGGATTGGAGGGCTAGGATGAATGCAGCAACGGCTGAGGGATCAGTAGAGTCTGTAGCGGCAATTGAAGCAGCGGCATTTGGAGCAACACACGGCAAAACACCTGAGGAACCACCTGAGTAAACACCTGAGGAAAAACCTGGGAAATCACCTGAGGCAAGACCTGAGATAACACCTGAGGCAGCACCTGAGGCAGTAGTGCCTGGGGTAATGGGACATGTGGCATGTGCCGAGAATCCACCTGTCACGACGGCCAAAGCATCTGTGGCGTGGGATTTTCTCGCCGACTGCCCCCGGGCGGCAGCGGGCGGCAGGGTGACAGAAGCGGGGCTAGTGTTTCCCGCCGACCTTCCGGGCGGGGCGGCAACGGGTGGAGCATCTGTGGCGGCAGCAGTGTTTTTCCCCGCCGACGACGACCTTCCTCCCTCTGGGGAGGTAGTAGAGGGAGCATTGATCCACCGGCGTTGCTCTTCAAGGGGAAGGGGCAGTTCCCCCGCCTCCTGGGAGGGGGGAAGTTCTTTCCCCCTGTTGATCCACCGGCGCTGCTTGTTGGGGGAAGGAGGGAGGGATCAACAGATCGCGAGGGAAACTTGGATCTGGTAACCAGATCGCGAGGGAAACTTGGCTGAGGCGATCGCGGCCCACTTGGTTTCCCCGTGGGAGCCCCGCGCGACGCCCACGCGGTCACAAGGTGCGTGGGAGCCCCACGCGACGCTCGCTAGCAGCCGGGCGTCTTCCTCTGGTGTGAATGGGGCACGGTTGACCTGCATTGGGGGAAGGAGGGAGGAGAGGAAATGAGTGGGCCGACTTGGTTTCGACGTGGGAGCCCCATGCGACGCTCGCCAGCAGGCTTGCGTCTTCCTCTGGGGTAAAGGGCGCGCGGTTGACCTGCATTGGTGGAGGGCGGGGGGGGAGGGGAAGGGGTAGGGGGAAAGGCCGCACTCTTTCAGTCAAGGCAATTGCGGCCCACTTGGTTTCGCCGTGGGAGCCCCATGAGACACTTGATAGAAGCACATCTTCCTCTGGGGTTAATGGGGCGCGGTTGACCTGCATTGGGGGTAGGAGGGAGGGGGCGAAATAGGTGGGGAAGGAGCGATTTTTGAGTCAACTCATCAGCAGCGGCCCACTTGGTTTCGCTGTGGGAGCCCCATGCGACGCTTGCTAGCAGTCTTGCATCTTCGTCTGCGGTGAACGGGGCACGGTTGACCTGCATTGGGCCGGGGGAAAAGGCCAAGAGGAAGGAAAGGGAGGGAACTTTGCCGAGGCGATCGCGGCCCACTTGGTCGCCGTAGGAGTCCCATGCGACACTAGCAATCGAGCGTCTTCTTCTGCCGTGAAGGGCGCGCGGTTGACCTGCATTGGTGGAGGAAAAAGATGGATGGCAGGGTTAAGTCAGGGGGAGGAGAAGAGGGAAGGCAGAGCTATCACAAATGGAGCGCGGTTGACCTGCATTTGCGGGAGTTGGGGCGGGGGGGAAGGGGGGGGGGAGGGGGGAAGCGGGGGGGGGGGGGGAGGGGGGGGAGGGGGGGAGGGGGGGAGGGAGGAGGGAAGATGGGGTGAGAGGAAAATAGGCAGAGCCGTCAGAAAGGGAGCGCGGTTGACCTGCATTGAAGAGCCCAGAACTCTCCACCGTTTCCCCTCCCTTTCTCATCCCCTTCCCCCCCCCCCCCCCGCCCCCCGCGCCCCTCCCCCTTCCCCCTCCCCCTCCCCTCCCCACTCCCCCTCCCCGTCTCCACCTCCCCCCTCCCCTTTGCCTCATTTTCGTGACTTGCCCCATGTACCTTAGGGTCTAGGTGGCTGGACCACAGCAGACGGCAGCTCTGCGCGTCGCGTCCCCCCCTGCCCCGCACTCCCCCTCCACCCCCCCTCCGACCCCCTCTCCTCGCAGCCAAAAGCGGCGTACCTTAGGGTCTAGGTGGCTGGACCACCGCAGACGGCAGCTCTGCGCGTCGCGTTTCAACGCCGTCGCGCGCGCCACGTGCTTCCAATTTCCCGCGCCGTACTTTGCCACGTAAGCGCGCAGCTCCGCGTCCTCCGCCGCCGTCCACGCCCCGCGCTTCCTCCCCGATTCGAGGTGTTTTCTCAACCCGCCGCCTGAAGTCGCGGCGCGGGCGGGGACACGGTCAGCGGCGGCGTCCACGGCGGCGCTATAAACGCCGCTATCAGCGCTACAAACGCCGCTATCAGCGCCGCCAGTTGCGGGGCTGTTCAAGAGCCTCCGCCGTCGCGATCCTGTCACCTCTGCCGCCATTCCTCTTTTGAGCGGGAAACACGGGCGAGGGGGGGTGGAGATTCAGCCTGAAAGCTCCGCGGTTTTGTACTAACTGTCAATAAGGGATTACGCAGTGCAGCTTGCAGCAGCAGGAAAGAGTGGCTTAAAACGGTATTCATCGTAGCTGCAGCTACTAGTACCACCGCCACTCGTCGGATCATCGGAAGAAGCGGAAGGAAGCAAAAGGGCCGCGACAGCATGTCGCGGAAAGGTAGAGCGCAAGCAAGGCGTGATGGTGTGCATGCATGCAGCATGCAGCGGCACTGCACTGCACACATCGGCCAACAGCGGTTTTGACCCACTGTTCAATCCGACAAGGCCCGTTCTTTCAAAGAATTCCGAAGAAAGTTTCCTCGGGTGCCCGAATTTCGAAATTCGGAAACAGACCATTACGCCAGCCTGTCGGAGCGCAGGCCGAATCGAGCCATGGCGCCCCTGTTCTCGTGTGTATAGGTGGGTGGGTGGGTGGGATGGAAATGTGGCGTGTTTCGATTCGAAGCTCAGATTGCGGCGGGGGTGTGATGATCCGGCAACTGCCGGTGGTCGTGGGTTACAAGTGGGTGGCTGACTAGTCCCCCGTGCGGAATTGGACAGATGTGAACAAGAACTGTACCTCATTGACTTCTGTTCCAAACCGTCAACTGTAGAAGACGGACTTTGCATTCGGCCCACCCCGCTCCCTTGGCTGCTAGCGGTATATCCCGCGCGTTCCGTTCCGATTCCCTACTTGACTGCCGGCCAGACTAGGGAGAGGGAGACTGGACTGGAGCCGCTTTTGCAGGCGCGTCGCCCACTGAAGGAGGGAGGCCGGCAAGATAACCGTCCTTTACACGGTCGGTCTTTGGCATGACCCGTTTCGTGTCGATTCGTGACAAGCAACCACTGGACCATAGACACGATGCGTGCGGCATTTCCAACGTTTCGGTACGCAATGATGCGACAAACGAATGGCTCTGCTGCCGCCAGCTGGAATGGTGGAAATAAGTGGCGTGCTGTGGTGAACTGGAATGGTTTGGAAAAAATTGTGGGTGTCTAAACAGTAGACTTCCAGCTTTGCGGAAGTGGCGGAAGTGACGGATGGCGGAAAGGACGGCAATCCGAGGGATCGAATGGGCGAAAGGAGGGAATCTGTAATGCCCAGGGCTATTATAATGGCGGTTACAAGGCTTTTATAATATTCCAATACAAAATAGTAGCTTTAACTAGCCTTAATAGCCTTGGAGATGAAGATCTTCTTGATGCCTTTGATGAAAAGCACCTGGAGTAGTAGTGTAGGGAGACTTGTGAGAGAGCCCAAAAGGACTTAGAGAAACAATCCCATTTCCAATTGTTTTGTTGGAGTGGGAGGTTGAGAATGAGCTTGCTTAGCTCAGACCCCCTCAATACACCCCTTGGGGAACTATCCCAACCATGGTTTCCATGGTGGGATGGTTCCTAGGCTTGGAGCCTATGTGGCAATTGTGTTGGGTTGGAAAACCCAACTTAGAACCACTCAATGGTTGTGTTTAGGATAGAGTAGATTGTAACACTTGTTTGGCAGTTTCTGATTGGTTGGAATTCCAACCTTCAACATTCTCTTGGTTGAGTTGGAAATGTTCCAAACCTCCAAAGTTGAGGCTTAGCAAACCCAAACCAAGTTTCATCCCAACCAACTCAACCATCTTCTCCAACTCTTCCTTTGTCGAGAGAAGTTCTCAACAATTGACTTAGAGAGAGATCGATGGTTGTTAGCTCGGTAGTTAGGGTAATACGTTACACTCCTCCCCCCCCAGGTGGCAACGTCCGCGTTGCCCTAGGGTGCTTCTGAGGACGAGTGCTTCGAGCACGGCGCACCACATTACGACCAGGGTCAACCCCGTCCACTGGTTGTGGGCCTGCTTGTAGAGCCAGGTCTTCCATATACGCTTGAACCGCTGTTTCGGTCAAGTGTTCCTCAGGCTCCCAAGAGTTGTGTTCCGGCCCATAGCCTTTCCACTGAATTAGGAACTCACGAACAGTTTTGCGGCCGCGTTGTCGATCACGGTGCGTTAGCACACGCTCGACTTCGTAAAAGAGTTCCTTCTCGAGAGCGATGGTTGGTGGCGGTAAGTACTTGCCTTCTGCAACGTACTTATTCAACAGAGACACGTGGAAGACGTTGTGAATCTGCAATGTCGCAGGCAATTTGAGCCTATATGCGACCTCACCAACACGCGCAATCACCTCGAAGGGCCCAATCCAACGAGGGAAAAGCTTTCGTGCTCCCGGGATCTTGAGACGAATGTTCTTCGTACTCAGTAATACTTTGTCGCCAACTGCAAAGACGACTTCCCGGCGTTTCATGTCGGCATAGGACTTTTGCCTCTGTTGGGCAAGCTGCAGCCAATGGCGAGCGGACTTCAATGTCGCTTGCTGTTTTCCAATAAAGTCCTTTGCGGCAGGGATTTTGAGGTTCTTAATCCCATGCGTCGCAGGGGTTGTGGGGTGCCGACCACAGTTCAGGACAAAGGGTTTCTCATGTGTGCTTTCATGCACAGAATTGTTCACAGCGAATTCTACGACTGGCAACAATTCATCCCAATCGTCCTGAGTTGGGCTTATGAAAGAACGAAGCATTTGCTCAAGAGTGCGGTTGGTCCGCTCTGTCTGTCCATCCGTTTGTGGGTGGAACGCAGACGACATCTTGAGTTTCGTTCCGAGTGTCTTAATGACCTCTTGCCAGAACCGGCTTGTGAAGCGCGGGTCTCGGTCAGACACCATCACACGAGGCAAACCGTGTAAGCGGAAAACGTGTGTCACAAACAACTTTGCCGTATCTTCCGCAGACACGTCAGTCGTCGTGGGCACGAAGTGCACCATTTTGGTCAAGCGATCCACAAACACTAGTATCGCTGTATGACCATCTCGCGTCTTGGGGAGATCGGTGATAAAATCCATCGATACACTCTCCCAAGGTTCATCGGGAATCTCAAGTGGTTGAAGCAGACCACCAGGCTTCTGTGTGCTCGGCTTGTTCCGTGCACACGTGTCACAGCGAGTTACAAACTGCTGGACCTCAATGCCCAATCCCGGCCACCAGTATACATCACTGAGGGCCCACCGGGTTTTCTTGACACCCAGGTGTCCTCCATACTTAGTGGCGTGCACCTCTGCGAGAATATCATTCCGCAGGTTTCCCACATGTGGGACTACAATTTCTTTCTTGTGCCACCAGAGCTCATGCTCCCACAAGAGATTGTTTGTATTCTGTGGGTTCTGAAACCAAGGGTCGATATCATACCCTGCGCGGATGCGTTTCAGAAAACCACCAAAGGCAATCTCGCTCACTCGAGCAGCTGCGAGGATGTTGAAACAAGCAGCAAACACAGCTTCATGTTCCTTATCATCAACACCCGTTGCTGCCCCAATCGGCTGTCTGCTCAGAGGATCAGCCATGTTCGTCGAGCCCGCTCGATATCGAATATCGTAGGTGAACCCACTCAGGAGTTCATCCCATCGAGCTTGACGGCGGGTGAGTGTGGCTTGAGTGGCAAAATAGGTGTTCGGACAGTGGTCGGTCGTGACCACAAAGTCAACACCTTCGAGATAACATCTCCATGTTCGTAGCGCATGCACAACCGCCAACAATTCTTGTTCGGAAGTTGTATAGCGCTGCTCAGCCGGTGAAAGCTTTCTACTCTCAAATGCCACGGGGCGTCCTTCTTGCAAAAGAACTGCTCCAATCCCTACTGTCGAGGCATCAGTTACCACCTCGTAGGGCTTGGACGGGTCTGGCAAAGCCAGCACTGGAGCATTGGTCAGCATGGTTTTCACCTCCTCAAATGCCTTCTGGCATTGATCGGTCCACTGCCAAGCATTACCCTTACGAGTGAGGGCAGTCAGTGGGGCGACTACGGAGGAATAATTTTCCAAGAAACGGCGAAAATAGTTCGCAAGTCCAAGAAATGATCTGACCTGTCCCACGTCCTGTGGAACGGGCCACTGTTGGACTGCCGCCACTTTCTTTGGATCAACTTTGAGGCCATCGTTGCCTACCAAGTGACCAAGGTATTCCAACTCGCGTTTGTAGAAGTGACACTTCCACAATCGAGCAAAGAATTTATGCTCTCGCAGTTTTCCTAACACCCATTTCATGTGTTGCGTGTGTTCTTCTTCGGTCTTCGAGTACACGAGGATGTCATCCAAGTATACCAGGACGAATTGGCCGATTGCCTCCCGAAACACTTCATTCATTGCTCGCTGAAATGACGCGGGAGCATTTGTCAAGCCAAAACTTAACACACGCCACTGAAAATGCCCGAACGGCGTTCTGAAAGCCGTTTTTGGAACATCTTCTTCGGTGATTCGTAGCTGATGATACCCCTGAGCTAAGTCCAGCGCACTGAACCACTGAGCTCCCTGGAGCCGATCGAACAGATCCTCAATTCGTGGTAGAGGGTATCTGTTCTTCACCGTAATCTTGTTCAAGGCACGATAATCTACGCACATGCGTAATCCTCCGCCCTTCTTGTTAACGAACAAAATTGGTGCTCCGTAAGGGGATGCACTGGGTTCAATCCATCCTTTTCTGAGGTATTCCTCGATCTGTTGTTTGGCCTCTTCGTACTCAGCTGGACTGAGGCGATACAGAGGTCGAAAGGGTGGAACCTTTCCTGGTTCAACAGGGATGGTGTGACCCACTGCGCGGTCAGGCGGAAGTCCATCAGGGATGGTTTCAAACACTTCCTTGAATTCCTCTGCCAGTATTTTCATTTGAGGAGGGAA